TCTTCAGTTCCACTTGGTTACTTGGTAGGGGGGGAAGTGTCACATCCCCACCCCAGCTTGGGATCCGGGGGGGACCTTGGCCCAATATACCCCCCCCACCAATCCTGGGGGAGGGCTGTGACATAAGGGCAAGACCTCCATCCCACACACCTCGAGCTGTTCGGGGTATCGTTGCCCCTCTCCCCCCTCCCCTGCTGTCACCGTTGTCACCTCTCCGTGCAGGAGGGGCACACGGGGGCCCTGGCCGGGGTGATGTTGTGTGAGTAATGGGGAACATCTGGCGCAGCAGCTGGCAGCCCCCCCGTCCCCCCCCGGGCCAGCAGGCCATGCTAAGCTGCTGGCAGCTTTTGGGAAGGGCTGGGGGGGTGGCCGGGTGGCTCTTAAATCCTCCCTGCCACCCGTCCCAGCGTCCTTCCCCAGTGCCGGCGCCACAGAGGAGGGAGCCCCTGCCCGCTGCCTTTCCTGGGGGTCCCAGCCCACCTCGGAGGTCTGTGGGGTTGGTGTGGGAGCTGTTGGTCGAAGCTTCCCCCCCTTCTCTGCGGGGTGCTGCCGTGCCGGGGGTGAGTGAGTGCATGGGGGGGGTGGAGATGGGTGGGCAGCCCCCCTCCCCCTGAGGTGATGGGATGCTTGTTTTGGGGCTGAGTGGGGTGCAGATGGGGAGAAGGTCCTGAGATGCATTGGGATGGAGCAAGAGGGAGGTGGGTGGGCAGGGTACCAGCCCCTCCTCTGGGTGCTTGGAATGCTTGTTTTGGGGTCAGTGGGGTGCATACCAGGAAGAGGCCCTGGATGCAGTAAAATGCAGCAGGAGGGAGATGGTTGAAGCTTACCTTCCCCCCTCTCCCCCCCCTCAAAGTTTACGGGTGTTTGTGTTGGGGCTCAGTGAGATGCACACATGGGGGGTTCCTGAGATGCATTGGGATGCAGCACCTGTCTCCTGTAGGATGCACCAGGAGGGAGATAGGTGGAGAAGGGTGCCAGGCTGCCCCTCCTGCAGGTGATGGGGTGCTTGTTTTGGGGCTCAGTGGAGTGCATATGGGGGGGTGAGTCCTGGGAGGCACTGGGATGCAGCACTTGCCTCCTGCAGGGAACGGAGTGGGGTGAGTGGGCTCGGGTAGCAGGTTCTTACCCAGGGAGAGGCCAGGAGGAGGGAAGCTGAGGCGGGACACACAGATCCTGTTCCTTGTTCCTCTCCTCCTCACGGTGCTGACTCCTCAGTGGCCTCCGTTGAGTCATCCAGGTCTCCCAGCTGGTATTTTTCCACCCGCAAAATGAGGGGAGTGATTCCCTCCCCTCCTTGGAGGTGGCAGCCTGGGGTGACGGCTGCTGGGTGTCTCGGGGACATGGACCCCTGGGGTCCCCCCCCACCAGGGTCCCTTCGCCCAATCCATGGGACAGCAGCGATGCTCTCATTGTAGGACAGCCAGTCCTGATGTCCAGATGGTCTCTCCAGTGCCCTTTCCACCCTTGCTGAGGGCTTTTGTATCCACAATGGGGCTGGGGCTGTTTTTTTGGGGTGGTTTTTTTTGGTGTTTGTTAGGGTTTTTTTGGCAATTTGTGCTGCTGGCAAGTAGGAATTTGCAGGGAGATGTTGTCGTCATCCCAGCAATTTGCAGCAGCCTGGAGCATGTAATAATCCTTCCTGATGGGGAGCTGCAGGAGACCCCAACTCTTCTGCAGACCTGGGAGAGAGCTGAGTCTGTTCATCCCCAAGATCCCCAGTGTCAGCTGAATGCCAGCTGACCTCAGGGATGTGACATGTTCAGGTTGTCCCCCGGGATCCTGGCACAGTGTCCAGCCTGTCCTCACCGTGAAGAGCAATGTCACACAGGGCCACAGCTCCTCTTACCCACCCTGCTAGCATTTTGGGCACCCCCCTGCTCTGAAATAACCCATGTTTCTTTGGGATGGGGAAGAGCAGAGTATCCTTGGGGACCTGAATGTGACTTTGAGGACAAAAGCCAGGCTGGTCCCTTCTCCGGTCGCTCTCGGGGCTGGGGATTGCAGCGGCTTGTGGTCCTGGAAAGCATCCAGGAGCTGGAAAAGCTCTGTGGGATACTTTGGATGAAAGGTGCATTAGGAATGCACGGGATTATTGGTATCTTTTTAATCTCTCTTTTAACTGTCTCTTGACCTGGGGGAAGGGTTTGACGGATGAATGGAGATGGTTTTTTTTCCCTGGGGACAGGACGAAGCAGTGCAGGACTCTTGCTCTGTTATGGGGGAATGCCTGCAGCCTCCCTGGAGGGGGTCAGAGGAGCAGCATGGGGGGCATGGACATGGACACTGAACAGGGATCTGTGATGCTTTTCAGCCTGGGTTCAGTTTGCGTCACTGGTGAAAACAGGAGAGCCAAACTCTGAGTCTGGGTGTGCCATCCTTGGGTGCTGGTATTGTGCAAACTGCAGCTTTATGAGTTGAACCTTCAGGCTGGTGTCCCTCTCTCGGGTGGGAGCTCGTTGTCCTGAGCCCAGCTTGGGGCTTGCAAGTAGCCCAGTTGTGCTGGCAGCCCAGAAACCAACTGTGTCCTGGGCTGCATCCTCAGCAGTGGGACCAGCAGGGCCAGGGAGGGGATTGTCCCACTCTGCTCTGCTCTGGTGAGACCCCCTGCAGTGCTGGGTCCAACTCTGGGTTCCCCAGCACAAGAAGGACATGGAGCTGTTGGAGTAAGTCGAGCGGAGGACACAGAGATGATGTGAGGGCTGGAGCAGCTCTGCTCTGGAGACAGGCTGGGAGAGTTGGGGTTGTTCAGCGTGGAGAAGAGAAGGCTCCAGGGAGACCTTAGAGCACCTTCCAGGACCTGAAGGGGCTACAGGAAAGCTGGAGAGGGACTTTTGACAAGGTCAGGGAGAGATGGGATGAGAGGAAACAGTTTCAAGCTGCAAGAGATGCAGAGATTGAGATGAGATCCTTGGAAGAAATTCTTTGCTGTGAGGGTGGTGAGACCCTGGCCCAGGTTGCCCAGAGCAGCTGTGGCTGCCCCATCCCTGGCAGTGTTGAAGGGCAAGTTGGATGGGGCTTGGAGCAACCTGGTCTGGTTGGAGGTGTCCCTGCCCGTGGCAGCTGGTTGGGCCTAGATGATCTTTAAGGTCCCTTCCCACCTTAACCAGTCTGTGTGATTCCATGATGAGCTGCTCCACAGTGAGTTTTGCAGTGCAGGAACTGGGATGCTGTCATCAGGATTTGACTGGCAGGAGACTGCAGTTGCCCCACACTTGGGAGCCATGCTGTGGAGAAGCCCAAGGCTTTGTGTCCCAAGCCACTGGCCACCTTCCTGCCTCACTGCAGTCTCCAGGAGCTGGGTTTTAATTCAGAAATACGTGCGAGAGGCAGGACGAGCTCGCTGCCTTGGAATCACTGCAGGAGCAGGGACACGGCTGGAGGGAGACCTGCAGAGACAGGATGGGTTTCCCATTTCCATGGGGGAGTTCCCAATGGGGACCTGCCTGTGAGTCCCCCCCTGAATTTTTGGGAAGGCAGCCTAGGCAACCCTATCCCAACCGTCTGGTTCACCACGGTTGGTTCCCTCCCTTTGCTCTCTGCTTGCCGGCACGAGCTGTCTCCTCCCACACCAGCAAAGCTGAAAATAGA